GCCCCCAAGCACCCACCGACCGGCCCCAAGCACCACTGACCGGCCGCAAGCACCCACCGACCGGCGCCAAGCACCCACCGACCGGCCCCAAGCACCCACCGACCGGCCCCAAGCACCCACCGACACTGACCGGCCCCAAGTACCCACCGACTGGCCCCAAGCACCCACCGAGAGCCAACGACAAAGGGCCTCGCTGCACTACTCTCGACATCCAAAAAAAACAAAAATCATGACCGTGTATCTGTTCGTATTCTAGCAAGAAGATTCACTACCCTCGACATCCACAAAAAAAAAAATTCATGACCGTGTAATTTTCCGTATTTCAAGAGTAGTGCAGCTAGGCCCAAAGCATAAAGGAGAACGCAAAAACGAAAACTCTCGACATCCACAAAAAACAAAAATCATGACCGTGTATCTATCCGTATTTCAAGAGTAGTGCAGTGAGGCCCAAAGCATAAAAGAGAACGCAAAAACGAAACGAACCCGGACTTGCCCGAGAAAAAAACAAACGCCAAACGTGTCAGTCGCGTCAGGCGCGTCAGAATTTTACATCGGACGTCTCACACTTCGCGATGTCTGTATTTCTTTTTTTTTTTTTTTTTTTTGATGTCCGTATTTCAAGAGTAACGCAACGAGGCCCAAAGCATAAAAGAGAACCCAAAAACGAAACGAAATCGGACTCGCCCGAGAAAAAAACAAACGCCAAATGCGTCAGATGCGTTAGGCGTGCCACGTCAGGCGCGTCAGAATTTTACATCGGACGTCTCACACTTCGCAATGCAAACGATCGCGCGTCAGAATTTTACGTCGGACGTCTCACGCTTCGCAATGCAAACGATCGCGCGTCAGAATTTTACATCGTACGTCTCACGCTTCACGATGCAAAAACACTAACGTGGACCATCGAAGATGTGAGAGTTGGCCCCGCGGCCTACTATCTTTTAGTTGGGTTATGACTTAAACATTGAAAACATTTATTTAAAAAGAGAGCAACCTCTCCAATCTCTAAATTTTCGACTGGCCGATTGAAGAAGCTCGGTCCTGATGCTACCGGCTGACCCCTGGCCGGTATCGCCCACCTGCTGTAGCAGGTATCGCACCTGCTGGTGGGTGTGACTGGCCCATCGAAGAAGCTCGGTCCTGATGCTACCGGCTGACCCCTGGCCGGTATCGCCCACCTGCTGTAGCAGGTATCGCACCTGCTGGTGTGTGCAGCTCCCGCATGTTCCCTCGTTGGAGGCTTGAGCACCGATGTGGCTGCTATAATGACAATAAAAAAACGGCCTGAAAGGCCGTCCTGGGGCACAGTTCCACTAGCAGACGAGTCACGGACTGTTATGACCTGTGCGACAGGTTGAGAAAAGAGAAATAAATAAATTTGAAAGACAATTGAAAAAAAAATTGGTGAGTAGGTTGACGTTTGAGAGTACTGCAAAAGTCGGCCATCTTCTTGAACATCAGAATCGACAGCTGCCGCTGTGAGTCATCTCTGTGGCCGCTTCAAATGAGCTCGGAGGCCCACAACTTCTTGATACTTGGGAAAGCCACAAAAGCCCTCCGAGTAACAATGCACATTCGATGCATGTACCCTGTCAGGAAACCAAAATAGATAGATTTCTGTTTTGTTTTCTTTTCTTTTTCACTGTATTTTCTATGTTTGCGAAGGTAGATACATTTCTCTTCAGCTTTTTCGTTTTCTTCTCTTTTTCACCCGATTATCCATAGGGCCTCGCTGCAAACTCACTTGCGGCGAGATCCCACTGGCAAAGAGGATTGAAATAAGCCTTTGAATTTGGACGTGTTTGTGGAGAGGTGCAAACAGTTGTGATTGAACTGCTTTTCTGCATCTCTGTGTGGAACACGTCCAGATTCAGCCACTTATTCCAATCGTCTTTGCCAGAGAGATCTGGCCCTTCTTTCACTAATGGAGCGTGCGCAGACTTCGCTCCACTACTCTCGAAATGTGCAAACCGAGAGTGAATCTTGCCCTAGAACATGGAAAGATACACCGGTAAGATTTTTGTTTTTTGTGCCTGTTGAGAGTACTGGAGCGAGACCCATATGGCAAAGGTCACGGTCGATTATTCGCTGCTTCCACCTGGCGTCCGGATTCGGCACCTGTAAGATGAAGTTCGCAGTTAGGACCACGTACTCCGAATCCGTAATGTGAGGTATTCTGTCTTTTTCTGCTCGCGGCGCGCAGCACCTGTATTTGGAAACGGAAAACGGGAAAGCTCTCGTTCGTGTTCCATAGCTTCGTGGGTGGCAGCGTTCCATAGTGGGTGCACTGTTCCGTGTGGCGTCGCCAGGCACTGCAACCCCTCCCGCACAACTGAGTATGGAGGCCCTTCGCACTGTTGGGAACAGTGGAAGTGTATTCTTTGGGCATGCACCTCCACGCAGTGGTCCTTCAGTGCCGCACAGCACCAGAGGAGTAGAGCCAGTCCCCCACTCGTTCGTTGCCAATTCGTCCGATCGGAGGTCGCTGGAGGACATGAGGGAGTACTTGGGTCGGCGTGCAATGCGGAGCTCAAGCAACGAGGACCAAACAGAGGTCTCACCTCCAACTGGCGCTCACACTTTCAGCATGCCTCAACGGTCTACGGAGCAGTTGCAGGAGCAGCCATTGTTGCCTCCTCGCTCGTCCGTTGCGGGGGTGGGGGGTGTAGACATGTCACAGCTGGGTGTAGACGTGCCACAGTTAAAATCGCAAGCTGTTTGTGACATGCCACAACGTAATTTGCTCTCTGCATTCGATGAGGTTGTGCAGCAGACAGGCCACAGTTTGTCAACTGCCATCTTGGGCCCCTCTGGGACTGTGGTTTTGAGTGACCAGGAGCTGGGGGTCGGTAGTGTTGACTCGCATGGCGATTGTGGGAATGGTTTGCCACACCAAATGGGGGAAGGGGATGAGGACTGTGCTGACTCACAAGCAGGAGGAGATCGTGGACATCACCAGACGGAAGGTAGCGTGGAAGCAGATGGGACCCCAGGTGAGGAGCAGCCATGGGTGGGTGAGCAACATCTCTCTCCACCTCCTGCTTCTAATGGCGCAGTCCCTGCTAATGGCGGTGATGGGTGTCAGCGAAATTGGTGCTGGAATGATGTTGAAACGCTTGCCCTCATCCGAGCACACGGGGAATACAGGGTTGCACGAGCAGTCAACTCTGAAGCTATAAGCAATGCTTGCTCTTTGAATAAGAAATGGGAGGGTACATCAGCTGCCATGTGTGCTGCTGGCTTCATCCATAATCACGATGACTGTGGAAATAGGTCGAAGAACCTGTGGAAGTGGTGTAGGAAGGTGCTAGTCCAAGATCTCATGAATGGAGTGCAGAGCTATTGGACCATGTCACCTGAGACACGGGCGAATGCTGGACTCGAGTTCTGCCTTCGAAGGTCGTGGTTTCATCTCATTGACTCCTTCAATATGAGAAACCCGGCTGTCCATCCTGAAGGTGTTGTCGATCCTGGAGATGAGGAGGATGGGCGAGTACCAGGACAACGCAGTCGGGGTTCTCCTCCTGTGAATAGTGGCAGAGCTGAGAGTGGGGTTGACAATGCACTTGTTGAAGGGGCTGAAGTGGGAACATCGGCAAAGCACAGACGCACTGTCGCAAATGCCCAGGAGCAGGCTGTGAAGGACATCTCCGCAGTAATGAGGGAGCAGACAGACGCATTGAGGGAGCACAGTAGGGGATTGGTGGAGTGCGCTGAACTCACAGTGAAAGCCATGTACAAGCAGGCAGCAGTGCAACAACAGACTGGAAAGCTCACTGCCAAAGTTGCTTGGGAGGACATGGCTATTCGGAAGGATATTGGTCTTCTGATAGTGGACAAGCTTGAGAAAGGGTGGAACACATTTGCTCAGGCATTGCGAGATTCGTGATCTTCCTCCTCATAAAGGCCACAAAAGTTTTAGTTTTCGAGTAGATGGTGTAGCAAATGATGCAGTGCTGGTCTGTCTTCTATTCTCCAGGGTCTAGTTTCCATTGGTTTGGGTTCAACTATTTATTTGTGTCAGGTTTTGATAGTGCTGCTCTGAAGACTTCGTTTTTTTTTTGTGCTGGTTGGACTGTAATGTTCATTGCCCAGCGGATTTTCCAGTTAGTTTTGTAGAGTGCTATGAACCAATACCCCTGTATTTTGTGGTGGTTACCTTTTGAATTTGGCAATGCGCGTACCTTTTTTAGAAATCTCTCTCTCTCTCTCTCTCTGTTACATGCACAGATATGCAATGTACGTAATAACCGAGGAACTGCAATGTGATGAAAAGGACTGACTGGACAATACAGTGCGAGTAGAATCTCGACAGACAATGTACATTCTCATACATACAAAAGRTGYTGAATAGCGCAGGGAAGACTTTGATACAAAGACTGACCTGACAGGACTGACCTCATTCACGTAGTTCAGACTAGCGAAACAGAATGCTAGAGTAGTACTAACTAGCCCAATCAATGTTTGAACTCAGACTAAACATGCATSRTATCCATCACCAAGTGTGAAGGAGCCTGGCGCTGTACACAGGAAGAAAGCGCCAGGTCCAGACATACACAGAGGAAGAGATAAGGATCAGACGAAAGGAGGGAGAAGGATGGGAATGTTGTTAACACCAAATCTTGGTCACCAATCCCAAATAACCCCTCGTTGCCATGTCTGAACCTCCAAAAGTCGAGTCTGGATCAAATGTCACCAAGCTCTGTATCTCTTCTCTCATAGTTTGCAGATGCAATGAAGTCAGAAGTTGAGAGGGAGAGAAGAGATGATGGACTGAGAAGAGAGAGAAGAAGAACTCTCTCTCTTTCTCTGTTACGAAACAGATACTAACCTGTGATGTTGGCGCTGTGCCGCAGGTACCTCGAAGACGAAGCTGGAGCAACGGCGCTGCAGGTAGGTACCTCTGGCCTCCGCCCAAGCTCTCTCTCTCTCTCGCTAGTACTACCTAGCTATGGCGCCCAGCGCTGGAGACTACAGCTACCTACTGCGCCCAGCGCTGAAGACTACAAGCTAACGCTACTACTACTACACTGCAGTGCTCCCTCCATAGTGCTGCTCCCGAATCCTCAAGACTACAACTCCTGAATCCCTCCTTTCGTCTGATCCTTATCTCTTCATCTGTGTATGTCTGGACCTGGCGCTTTCTTCCTGTGTACAGCGCCAGGCTCCTTCACACTTGGTGATGGATATCATGCATGTTTAGTCTGAGTTCAAACATTGATTGGGCTAGTTAGTACTACTCTAKCATTYTGTTTCGCTACTCTGAACYACGTGAATGAGGTCAGTCYTGTSAGGTCAGTCTTTGTATCAAAGTCTTCCCTGCGCTATTCAGCACCTTTTGTATGTATGAGAATGTACATTGTCTGTCAAGATTCTACTCGCACTGTATTGTCCAGTCAGTCCTTTTCATCACACTGCAGTTCATCGGTTATTACGTACATTGCATATCTGTGCATGTAACAGTTGGTATCGGAGCATCTGCACGTGAATCAGGACACCCTGATCTCACACGTGTGCGGGGACCAAAAAGCTAGTTAGTCTTTATTGGTTGATTAGGACATACTAGTTAGACCCCAAAATCACGATCTTGACCTCAGTACCGAAAATCAAATTTTTTTTCTTTTCTTGGATTTTATTTTCTCGCTATTCTGTTGTGGAAAATCGCAAAATCGCAACATCTGAAATTCCCATTTTCGTTTTTCTTCTGAAAATTCGAAATTTCGCTGTTGAAAATCCGAAATATTTTTCTTTTCAAAAATTTCGATTTATTGTTGCATTTCCCGTTACTTCGAAATTCAAAATATTTTCTTTTTTGAAATTCGTTTTCTGAAAACGGTACGGGAAATACCTCCTGCAGTATTATTTTGCAAATTGCGAATATTCTCATCGCAATAAATTCGAATATTTGTCATTTCGGTTCGGAAATTTTTTTTCGCAGTTCTGGGATTCTGTCGTTCGGTTCTATAAATCATTGGCAGTCTAAAGTCGAAATTTTTCTTTCAGTGATCATTTCGCACTTCAAGGGAGGTTGGGAGACCTACCGAACTTGCAGAAATCGGGATTTTTTTATTATTTTTCTCGAAATTTTTTGCAAAGTTCAAAGTTTTCTTGTTTGATTAGTGGCTCCTTATCTAAGTGATTGGTCGGGCGATTATCCCACCCACCCCTCCCCAGCTATGTTGTTGCCATCTCTCGCCCTTCCGTTTCTGTCGGTATCCGGGTACCCCCTGCGGCGGCATTGGTGAGTTGCCATGTCAGCAGGCCACGTCAGCAGACCACATCAGCAGGCCACATCAGCAGACTACATCAGTACGTCAGCAGGCCACGTCAGCAGGCTACGTCAGCAGACCACGTCAGCAGGACACGTCAGCAGGACACGTCAGTAGTACCACGTCAGCAGCAAGGGATACCACATCAACAGGCCCCCGCCCGGTCTATGCTGTTGCGATCTCAAACAGCAGTCATGGACCAGAGGCCCGGGGAAGCAGACGAGGCCTATCAGGCCCGCATGCTGGCCTGGAGTACCGAGACAAAGAAACGGGCAGATGACGGTGCAGCAGCAGCGAAGAAGAAGGTCGAGGATGCCGAGCAGGCACGTCTACTGGCACTTGAACAACAACGCCAGCATGACGAGGTAGCAGCAAGGGCTGCCGATGAAGAAAGGAACCATCGTCGAGAGAAGATATTTACCGGAGAGCGGGCGTTACTGACAATGGCAGCGGAATGGCGAACCGAAGCGGAGGATGGCAAGTTGGAGGATAGCGCAAACAAGATCGCGCTCCTCCTGTCGCACCTCACAGATCTCCTCGCAACCTGCATTACACAGCAGGCGGAGATCCTCGGTCTCAACACCTCGCTAGCTCACTTCCAAGACCGCCTTCAGCGGTTGGAGCAGCGACCAGTCGCCGCCGCCGACGCAAGCTCTTCCAACACTGCCAACCGCCTCAATGCATTGGAGATGGACGTCGGCTCACTCAAGGATGGCGTGCAATTATAGCAGACCGCGACGCAACAGTTGCAACAACGGATCTGCACTACCGCCACCACCTCGAGTTCAGAACCGCGCGAGACAACTCCAAAGTTCGACGGGCAGGAGATCTTCTGCGACTCAATGAAGAAAGATCCGATTCCATGGTTTCGCAAGTTCGAGCTCACGCTGCAGCTCCACAACGTAAAGGAACTCAAGCACCACGCATACTTGTACTCTCGCTCAGGGCGCGTGTCAGGCTTGGTTGGACAACCTGCTGTCCAAGTACGGAGTGGTAGCCAACGACTTGCACACCAAGATCAGTTGGGATGATCTGAAGGTGGCGTGGCACAAGCGGTTCCAGGTGGAGCCGCCGGAGATCAAAGCCATGGACAAGCTCATGGTCTTCGAGCAAGGCACGCTGCCGAGTACGGACTGGATCACCGAGTACCAACGCTTGACGTCAGTCCCAGACATCCAGATGGGCTTCAATGCCATCCGCCATTACTTCATCTCAAGGTCATGTCCGGCATTAAGCAATGCCCTGACGCATGTTGAGGACACCGCGCCGACGACGACGGAATTGTTTGACAAGGGTGCGCAGATCATCATCACGAACAAGGAGGCCAAGAACCTTCGTTCATCTGCGTCAGGCCCGAGCAGGGACCAGCATCGGCCAAGAGTGGCCGTGGTCGCAGCGGCAACGCCGTTTGACCAATCCAGCGAGGCTGTGTCTGCCAGTGAAGGGGACAGACTCGCAGCCGCCCGGGAAGGTGGCTGCCCCGGCAAAGGCCGAGGACGCGGCAAGACGAAGACACACCGCATCTAGCCCCGGGCCCGGTGCAGCAGCTCAGGCAGGCCCATGGTCCCAATATGGCATCTCCGAGCAAGCATTCAAAGCACACGAGAGATTCCATTATTGCCTTTGGTGCAACAGCGATCTTCATCAGATGCAGGTCTACCCATTGAAAGGCAAGGGCAAACAGGGAAACTGAGCACCGCCGAGAGTGACTCGACGACACTCTCGACGCCTTCGGAACCGGTTTCTTCGTGAGCAACCGGCCTTCATTCTGAGGCGCACGCGGAAGTCGATAGTCCTCCTCTTCTACTTTCTGTTGAGGACTATGCTGCCCGGCTCGTTCCTACGCTGGGTACTCAAGCTCAAGGACAAGAAGTGTGTGCGGTTTCTTCTCCGTCCGCCAACGGCGACATATCATCTTCAAGTGGTTCTTCACGGGATTTGGCACGCGAGTTCAACATAGAGGCATTGGACCCGCTCACGTCCGAGGACTTTGCATGGCTTCCTCTCCCGACCACACGCCGCTTGCCGGGACCGCAATGCGCAACACTTAGCGCTCATCTCCACACTTACTTAACCTTCTATGCACCACCAACTTCGCCGACGGATGACGAAGTCGCAGTGGGGGACATCCTGGCGTATACTACCAAGGTGGCCCGCGAGTTTCGCACGCAGCGGTACGATGAGAACAACGCACCGCTCATGTATGTCCGCATCCAGGTTGGGCAAGCGTCCTGCAGCGCTTTGTTGGATAGCAGCGCGTCTCGCAATTTCATGAGCCAATCCTTTATGCAAAAGGCTGGCCTTGGCGCACAAGTTTGGAGGAAGGCAAACCCGACGACGATCAAGTTGGCGGATGGAAAGACGCAACAACTTCTCGACCGTTACATCGAGGCCGTACCAATCTATTTCGCACCTCGTGCATTCGAACCAGTGACATTTGATATTCTCGACATGGGCTTCGACATCATTCTGGGAATGCCTTGGCTTGCAAGTGCACATCACACGATCAACTTCCACCGGCGGACTCTTAGCGTTTGCGACGCCTTCGGCGCGGAAGTGGCGTGTATTATTCCTCTACCGCACCCTTCGATCCGGTGCCAAGTGGTGACGGCCAAATCATTCCAGGCGACTTGCGCTTACGAGCAGCCCGAGGAGATTGGCCTATGTTTTCTACGGACCGTCGTGGTAGCCGACTCTTCACCCACGGACTTGTCTTCAGACATCCGTGTGGTACGGTTGCTGGACGAGTTCGCCGATATCTTCGAGTCACCTACCGGTGTGGTGCAGGATCGGCCGATCTCTCACGAGATCATTCTTGAGGCCGGTGCCGTGCCGCCGAAAGGTTGCATCTATCGTATGAGCGAGGAGGAACTTGAGGTCCTCTGCTCACAACTCGACGATTTGTTGGCCAAGGGTTGGATCCGCCCTAGCAGCTCCCCATATGGAGCACCAGTTCTCTTCGTCAGGAAGAAGAACAAGGATCTACGACTGTGTATCGACTACCGCAAGCTCAACGCGCAAGCCGTCAAGAATGCGGGGCCTCTTCCTCGCATCGACGATCTTCTTGAGCGATTGGGCGGTGCAAAATATTTTTCCAAGTTGGATATGAAATCGGGATATCATCAAATCTCGATCCAGCCGAACGACCGCTACAAGACCGCGTTCAAGACGAGGTACAAGCATTTCGAGTGCGTGGTCATGCCTTTTGGCCTCACCACGCCCCGGCGACCTTTCAGGCGGCAATGACCAATGAATTTCGTGCAATGTTGGACCGGTTCGTGCTGGTCTACTTAGACGATATTCTCGTCTATAGCCGGTCATTGGAGGATCATCTTGGGCATCTTCGACGAGTGTTGGAGACGCTCCGCCGCGCCAAGTACAAGGCCAACTTCGACAAGTGTGAATTTGTCCGACAGGAGCTGGAATATTTGGGCCATTTCGTCACACCGGAGTTGGCCGAGGTTCTCTACGCCGGTTGCATTCGAACCAAGGGTTACCCCAAGGAAATCGTCTGCGACCGCGACACGCGGTTCATGTCCAATTTTTGGTTGGGACTCATTTAGCGATGGGGCTCATCTCTCAAGCCCAGTTCAGCTGGCCACCCTCAGACCGATGGCCAGACGGAGATGGCGCATCAGACCGCACAGGTTCTCCTTCACACTCTCATCCGGCCCGACCAGAAGGACTGGGTTGAGTGGCTGCCGGATGTCGAGTTGGCCTACAACTCATCTATCCACCCGGCTATCGGGATGTCGCCCTTTGAGTTTGAGCAGCGTCTTCCTTGCCCATTCCGCGCAGGCGACCTTGTTTGGGTTTCCGCAGCGGAATTCAGCCTTGAACAAGACATCTCTCGCAAGCTCCTCCCGAAATGGATGGGGCCTTGGCCGATAGTAGCGCCCGCTAGGGACGCACCCGAGGGACCTTCCTTCACGATTCAGCTGCCAAGCCACTTGCCGGTCTACCCAGTCTTTCATTGCTCCAAGTTGGCTCTTTACATGCCAGCGGAACATGACGATTTTCCCAGGAGACGTACGCAAGACCCACCTTCTATGAACGGTTTTCAGGAGGTCGGCGACATCATCTCCCAGCGACGCTACGGCAACAAGCCAACTGAGTATTTGGTGCACTTTGCATACTGCACACACCGACCTGACCGTTGGTTAACCCGTGCGGAACTTCAAGCAACAGCTCCAGACGTTCTCGCACGCTATGAACGCAAGATGCAAGGCAAGTCGGTTTCTTCGGTTCCACGCCGCGCTTGCGTCCAGGTTCCACCTTCAGATCGTCGGCTTCGCCCTCGCCCCGACTTGACTTCATAAGGAGGGGGGGGTGTTACATGCTGCGCCTGCACACGCAGGCCATTTTCCAGGCCCTCCGCCCTTCAGCCAAAAAGCCTAGAATTCAGCCTGAAAACAGGGGCCTACAGTCCCTGTGTCGTTTCAAACTAAAAATGGCAAGAGCCTTTTTAGCCTGAAATGAAGGGCTATTTTCGGTTGTTCACCAGAACGACCGGCCCTGAAACTCAGGCACCAAACCAGGGTTTCGGGAACAGGCTATTCTTAGCCTGTATCCACGCCAGCCTCAGCCGATGCTGCAGCGCCATCCCCTGGCACACTTCGGCATTGGCAACAACAGCCTCCTCGGCCTGGCTGGCCCTTCAGGCAGTCAGGAGGCAGGCCGTGCATTGGCAAGAGCAGCCTCCTCGGCCTGGCTGGCCCTTCAGGCAGTCAGGAGGCAG